AGTGGTGAGGGGGTGTGCTGTCATCATCCCATGTCTCGTAGCGCTCTGCATAAAACGCCGCTCGCTTGGGATTCAGGGCACCGATTGGCTGGAAAACACATATTGTTGCTCAAAGCCTCAAAGGAGTACGCATGGTAGCAATACTAATATAAACAGCCCTTTTTATGTTTTCGTCATGTAAAGCACTTTGAGTTGTATGGTTGCTGAAAAGTGCTTTTTTCAAATAAATTTTGCTTTACTTATTTTCATGTTTTCTAAAAACTGTACTGAAACACGATCCTGACCTTGGAAAGGTCTCTGAAGTTGCCGGGCAGAGTGAGATCAAGCTCCTCTGAATCATAGTTGGTCAGGACCCAGGGGAAGACAGGATACTGGTTCAAATCATTATAGGTCCTCCCTGCAGGGATAAATGCCAAAGAACCAATATGAAACTCTGCTTCACTTAAAAGAAAGTCATGCAGTGAATACATGTTTGTTTCTGTCTTATGTTACCTATTAGTTTATTAGAAATACAGTGCCAGTTTACAGACATCAAATCATCAAATCCAGGTTTTGCATTTAATTAAGAACATGAGTGGCTCTTATGTTTAGAGTAGAATGATTAAACAACTAATATCTTCAAGTAATTTTAATCATTAATATTAGAGGCATCTATTTAATTTATGAATGTATGTATTTGAGCCCCTTCAGCATAATTTTCACTCTGTGGATTAGAAAAAACAAAAACTCACAATAAATTAAAACATGTGCATCCCATTAAAATAAGCCCTTAAGAGTCCAAAATCGCAGGTGACTTATGTGTATGTTGAATGATTTACAAACTTCTGACAGGCAGGATTGGTAGGAATATTCTACTTGACTTTAGGGAGTTAAAATCAAATGTCTCTTTTATTTTGTTTTATGCCAGCATTTTAAAAGAAGAACTTCCTCATTAGCCAAAAATGGGTGCAAGACTGGAATAGAAATCACAATAAAAGCTGAAACTAAAACTTTATATAACATGAATGTATTTAAAACAAGAGCCATATTTAGCCATAAGTAATTACAGATCAGCCATTAAGACAAACACGGATAAAGTAAGTCAGAGCATAATGGCAGTGGCACAATAAAAGCAAACAGAAATAAATGAATTAAACAATTCTGATAAACCATGATAAACTTCTGCTATAAAACTGGTTCAACAGATTCAAATGATTTGACTAAGAATGGAGAGCAAATGCATTGCACATGTTGGTGAGAACAACGGGTTGCAAAATGAATTTACCTGCAATAGTGTTTAGAAACATGAGGTACTCAAAGTTGGAGATCTCTCTCCTCTGCCAGCGCTGCGTCATGTTCGACGACTTGAAGAGCTGACGTGGGGTCGCCAAGGAGATACGCCTGAGATGTAAATGCAAACAAACACGGGATTTTTATTTTCAGTCCTTTTCTTATCCTAAAATGATATGACAGACAACACGCGTTTCACACCTGGCTTGTGGAAGTCCATAACTCGTTCCCACCCCGACCCGAGGGAGGCTATAGACGACCCTTTTGACTGTGGCCTGGTCAGGAAAGTTAAACATCACAGATGCTGGAAAGAAGCAGAGAAAACAAGACCAACATGTCAGGATTATTTAGTCCAAATTATAAAATTATGTACTTTCTGAAAAACTAATCATAAACTAAATAGGTGGTATACAGATAAATCAAAAAGGAATTACCTCAAGCTATAAGCATATTGAAACTATTTAGATATTTAATTCAAGTCAAGAAAAACAGCCAAAAGTCAAACCAAAAATGAATCGTAACTTTAGTTTCACAAACGTCTTCAGTCTCTCCTACACTCCGGTCTGGGAAATTAAATTAATACGTTGGGTTTTATCAAAAGGATCAAAGGGATCTGAACTTGTTTATATTTAAAAACAGATCTAATTGATATGCTGCTACTAATGATTTCATAAAAAGCATGTTAAGAATAAGCTTACTCTCTGGTAAAATCATTGCAAACTCACTTCTGTTGGCCATAAAGACCTCCAGGCCTGTGTTCTGCAGCAGGTAGCGTCTGGAGAAGACGGCTCGGATCTCACTGAACATCCATTTCCCGTGCAAACCCTCTGAGTAAGCCAGCACCTGTTGAGGATGGACGTCATTACAGCACACAGGAAACTACTCATCTTTTCTTTTTCTATTGTCTATCTGCACCTTGATGAGGGAAAAAAAGTGCTTTCTCTTACTTTAGCATCCATCTTCTTGAATGTAGGATCCTCTTCATCAACTTCAAAGTAGATCTCTGTAGTGGTGATGGAGAGAGTGCCTCGAGCCACCACCACAGGGGCTACCAGCTGAGCAGGAGTACTCAGAACCACAGGGCCTGCAGGAGCATGGGGCAATATTAAATTATCTATTCATAGCCCTGACAGGAAGGAGGTCTATAGGAGCATCAAAGACATGGAGACATCAGAAGCATTTCAAACAGGCTAGGATTGATTTTTGATCTGCATTTTCCACTTTGTTTGCACCATCTGGTGTTAAAAGCATCAAGAGTTGATCTGTATCAGAATCAGATTTAGTAACTTCTGATTAACTCGTAGTAGGTCAGGTGAATCAGCTGGGTGGTTAGTGCAGCTGAACAAAAAACAACAACTTAAAGGTCCAACTTGCCTTTGGAGGTAAAAAGTCGAGGACGGAAACGAACTAAAAACGAGAGTCATATACAGTTTACTGCTCAGCATGACGGCGTGACTGCCGTGGAGTTTTTCTTTTGTGTCTTCGTGCGTCTCCACCTTACCAGCGAGGTTATCGATCTCTTTCTCCTGCAGCAGACTGACGGCGTCATCGTCTCCCTCCAGCATCAGCTCCGCCTCTGGGTTCTGGGTGACCACCGACTGACTGCGGAAGTTCTTCTTCGACTTAACACCCCCCTCCTCCTCGTCCTCCTCTGTGCCTGTGTTACACAGTCAGTGAGAAGCTGCACAAAGCTGACACCGGACACAGTTATTTATTTTTATTTATTTTTTAACAATAGAGCAAAAATACTGACCGTACTCATCCAGAGCTTTTAGTGAAATGTCGGCATGTGTGGATCCAAAGGCATTTCTCACAAATCTTCTCCTCCTCCTGAGATCGTCCTCCCAGTAGTCCAAACGCCAGAAGTCATGTAATTGGCTGGAGAAATGGGAGGGAAATGATGCTTTGAATATTTTTTCTAGTGGATAACAATCAAAGTGTGTATTCTGGGACATTTAAGAGATTAAAGTTTGAGATGAAGCTTTGTCTCAGGAGGCCTTTCCAACTTTACAAACACATTAAGCTAAACTTTTAAGTGATAAAATCTCACAAATGGACTCATTAATCTAGAGATAAGGAAAAAATATAGACTTAATGCATCTAAAAGACAAACAGTCAAAATCAAAGCACTGTGGATGCAACATTAAATTTTGTTGGTTTATCTGGGCAAACAGAAGTAAAATGCAGTTTGGAATATACATAATTAAAGGGCTTTAATGAAAATGTGAAAGAAAGAGGTTGTACACAAAAGAGGGAAGTTGAGGTTTAAACTTAGACAGGCACTGGTAACTCGGCTTTTTATCAGTGACTGAACCAGTGTAAACGCTGACAAGACTCTTCAGTGTGGATGTTCCAGAGTGAAGAAGATTCAGTTTTCAGCATCATTTAGGTGTTGAAAAATAAATAGGGCAAAACAGAGAAATGGAGGAAGATTCTAGAAAGAAAACTACTTTCTACAGAGGGATGTCAGTTGGACAAATCCTAACCACTCTACTGTAATAAACTGCTTTCTATCTTCTGAAGAACTGGTTTGTTCACTGTTTTGGATTCAATACTGGACTGGGCTCTTGTTAGACTTTGACATTTTCCACTCACCTCTGTGACATTGTCCCCCAGGCTCCGTGCTTATTGGTCAGGATGTTGAGGATCTTCTGTTTCAGCTGGTTGGCAGTCACATGGTCTCTGTGCTTGGCAGCACTGATGAGGTGGTCACACATTTTCTCCTCCTCTCTGCGGTCCGCAGCATACTGAGCACAGTTAGACTGAGCAGAGGGAATACGAGTTAAGCAAGGACCACTGGATGCAACTTAATGCATGGATGGTGTACATTGCCTTTTTGATCATATTTATTATGTACTTAGAAAAAAAATACAAAATTCCTACTTTGGTGCAGTAGAAGAAAAAACAGAAAGCAAGAGATAAAATGAATGAGCACTGCAGTGCTTTGTAACAGGAGATGGAGAGCCCCTGTTTACCTCAAACTCGGCGTGTTTGTGGACATCCTCGGCCCGCTGTCTGTTCAGGATGAACTCTGCTTCATTGGCAACACGAACAATGTGATCCTTCATGGCATGGCACAAGAGTCTGGCAAAAGAGCTCAGATGTCAGTAGCATAAATATTGGTAAACAAAAAAATCTTTCAGTTTCTTTGATCAAAATTGTCAGCAGAGCTAATAGCTGTGGCACTGCTGCATTCATTTCTAGGCTGTACATTTTAAGTGTTAAATTATGCAAAAAAAGATTTGTTTATTTTGGGACTTCTCACAGATCTCTACCCGGGGAGGCGATACACATTAGGGTGACTGTAAATGGATGGGTGACCTTTAAGCTCATTGGATTACCTTCCCTCGTTGATGAGCTCGATGAAGGCCAGTCCAGCGTTCTTCTGAATGGAGTTCTGCCACTCCTGCAAGTGGAAGAAAAATAACAACATTGATATCTGCAAAGATCTTTTTAAAGCAGAAAATACAGTGCCTTAAAAAAAATCATATGGTGTCTTTTAAATATTTGGATATTTTTAACACATTTTTGATTATGAAAGAGTTTTAATAGTTTTTAACAGTTATGTAATTGTGATTTCAATCAAAACCAACTGAGCCATATATGGAAAAGAAACACAACAAAAACACTATAGTTAACTTTTTTTGTTCTCTAATTTCACTCATAATGCCTAGGCCTGATTACTGTCAGACGTGTAGAATATTAAAAAAATAAAATTTCTGACAAAATGAAGCAATAAATCATGTCCAAAGAGTGACAACATGGCACAAAAAAAAAGAAGAGGGACAAATTATGTTTACATTAAATCTATAACTGTACACTGCATTTACTTTTTGAGAATGTTCTTTTACACTTAATGGAAAGAAAAATTGTTCATTTATACACCAATGTTTTAAAATTTGTTGTGGGGTTTTATATAATCAAACTCTAGTAAGCTTTCACTAAAAGAAAAGGAAGCAAACAGAACGCTTGACTTGTTTAATCAATAACACATTAGCAATGTAAATTGAAAAAACAAAAAACAAAAAAAAAAAAACATTTTCATAGCTCTAAAAACATCACTACAATCACAACCATAAATTGCACAATCTTCCATTTCTTGTGCATATGAGAGGGGAAACTTTTCAAAGGATTTAGCACTGCTGCTGAAAGCCTGAAAACTATCAGCGCTCCATTAGCTCCACTGGCTCTTAAGGCCATCTCCCGTTACACCCCCAGCATCTAGGGGATCGATTTCTGGGCTCGAGTTTGCTCTCCGCGGCCCTCTAATGGCAGACGAGGCGGGGAGTCAGGGGTAATACTATACATGCTGACGAGATGCCTCCCAGAAGACAAAAAGGACAGGGAGTGGTGGGATGAGAGGGTAGAAGATGAAAGCAGTTGCTACTGAAAACACTGAGGCCAGGAAAGCAGAAGAGCCTGGAAGTGTGACTGACGACGGAAAGGAGAAGAGAAGAGAGCAGAGATGGAGAGGCTGAGCTCAGGAGAAAGACCAAGAGGAGAGAACTTGAGCATGACTCCAAGAAGAAGAGCTCTTCTGAAGACGAATCGAAATAAACAGACTTGAAGATGTGAGACAGACTTCAAGTCTTCTTAAAGAAACCGGGTCGCCCAGCTCTGTAATGGTGAGTTTCATCCTGTCTTTTGATCGTCAAGTACAAAAAAAGAACCACTGGGTTTTAATGCATGAGGACAAAAGAACCAAAAATCCTCCTTCCATCAGTCAAGATCTGATATTTTACTGATTGTCTTTTTGTGTTTTAGGATTAGGAACATCCAGTTTTCTTTCTTTGTAAGCATGCATGTCAGATGAAGTCATATTACATCTGCAATGAGTATATTCCATAGTAATGAAATATCATTAACCTCAGTGTATGGATACTTTTACCTTCTTAAATCATCATAACAGATCAAGAATCAAACATTCACAAATGCTACAAATGAGAAAAATGCGACAAAATGAAGTTTTGTGATTGTATAGAGTGTCAGAACATTAGAAAAACATTAAAAAGTTAATTTTTTATCAAAACATTACCCTGACAGATTCACTGCACAGAGTGAAATGAGCCAAATCTGTTAGTTTTTAATGAAAATTAGGTTTCTCAGGAGATTTGATTATTACAGAAGACCAATAAAAACAATGAAGCTTGCTGACCATGTTCTGTACATTAAAGTTCATAATTGGTCAGGGCTGCTTTTACATAAATTATTGAATGCCATGTGACATGGCATGGAGATTAGGAACATGCAGTTTTTAGCCTTCAGTCTGAGTAAATACAAAGTACTGTTTGAAAACGAAATCAGCATCTCCATAAAAGTTGTCATTGTAATGTGTGTGTAATAAAAATGCAATTATCGCTTTTTAAAATTTTAAATACTGCAATAAAATGACATAATAAGCCTATTAATAGAGATGGTCCTGAATGAGAATAAGGTTGAAAGGTCACCAACCTGAGAACAGAGCAGCATTACGAGCTCCACCACAGATGTGCTCGACTTCATGCACACCAGACCTGCAGAACACACAAACACCACAGTCAGGAGTCTTTCTTCTCCTCATCTGACAAACACATTTTCCCAAAACACAAAAAATATCAGTGAAGTTACAGAAGACTTAGCAGTTTGGGTTGCTATACAGTCACCATAGTTTAATTTACAAGAGGCATGCCACAGGGAAGACAAAAAGCAGAGAGATTCAGGAAGGAAGGAAGTGGAGGAGGAAGAGAAAGAAGGGAGAAAATTGAGAAAAAGGAACACAGAGACAGTGAATTACAAAACAGGAAGCAGGTGGGCAGACTGAGGACACATTTAGGACAACTTACAATTCAAATGATGCTAAATATAATCTGATCTAAAAACATACATCTCTGTCTAGCTAAGTTCATACAGTGCAAAGTAGTGACTTCATACCTGCTTGACGAATGAGTGAAGCAGCTCAAAGACGCTCATTCACTCTGTGTTTCTCAAACACACACACACACACACACACACACACACACACACACACACACACACACACACACACACGAGAGGGCACACTTGGTGTTTCTCGCACTCAAACATGGCGGTGAGGGACAGTGAATGAGGAGACTCCACAGAGAGGGACGCCAGTTAGAGAAAAAGGAGCCGTGTACAGCACCTGTACCTTCTATGAGCAGTTCCTGCCCATGGCTACCCAGCAGCGTCCTGGACAGGAAGGGAGCGAAGTCCACAAAGATCTCCCTTAGCAACGGCGCCACTTTCTCCAGAGCGCGCTCCAACTTAGTGGTGATGCTGCAGAGGAGAACAGGGCGAGAAAGAAAGATGAAGGAACAAAAGAAGTGAGAAGGTCGTACGTGACACACGAGATCTTAAAATATGTGGGAGTTACAAACAGATGTAAAATACATGCATGACAGAAATGAGCAGGGAAATGGGAGGACAAGAGAAAAACCGGGAGTGTAAACCGGACATGGACGACGCAAAAGGTCAGAATCAAACATGATGATGTGTGGGGTTTGGTGGCAAGGTGGCTGTGTTACTATTGGGAAAGTGCTGCAGTTAAACAGCTGATCATTGAGCAAATGAAATTAAAAATGGATGAAGCAGCTTTACTATATCGCACTCGAGTGTTGAAAACTGGATTGTGTGTTTTCTTGTAGTATAAATGCTTGGTGTTCCTGCATTGAGAATGTTTCATGTACAGAAAAAAGTTTGAATAAATATGGGAGCACTGAAAGTACTTGTGATCCACTTCCTCCTTGTGCTTTACAAGATTTTTTTGTTATTTCTCAAGTAAATGAGCAAAATATATTTCATAATTAAGCTAAGGCAGGTGTTCAATCAACAGATCTCACAGTATTTGTAGAAATTGCCCATTTTAAGGGATCTCCATTTCAACTATATCAATCTGGATGTCCATTTTTTTTATTTAATGCATATTTTCTCAAATTTTGCCTGTGATTTAAAATAAATTGTACAAAAATCGAACAATTTCACAAAAGAAAAAGGCACAAATAATAGTTTACTAAACGGTAGATGTTAAGTTCTGCCGAGTATTGTAAATATTAAGTTAACCTAGCTGGTTATATTTTCAAATTTTTTGTGGCTATTGTTGATATTAGAAGAACAGAGGACAACATTAGAGCAGAAATTTATTTTCCTCTGCTGTTCCTCTTCTAGTTCAAATTTGTATTTAATTAGGTTCTATGAAACGCAGCAGTCACTTTCTAAGGCGTGACAGACATTGGTCTGAAAAACCTAAACTACCAGTAAACAGAGAAAGGACAGTTTCAAAGTGGATTTCTAATATCAGTCAATTCAAGCAAAATTGAATTGCTTGAATTGCCTGAAGGATCCTGAACTAATCGTTCAGTTCAGGATTAGTCCTTTGCTCACATGAGTGGCAGTGGTTATTTTCATAAAAAGTTGTGTGGATCTGCTGTGAAACAAAACAAAACCTGCCAAGTCAAATTCAGCCACTGTGTGAACACCTAACATCTGGAAAACAAAAGATAAAAAAAAAAATAAAAATAATAAAAAATAATAAAAATAAAACAAGAGTTTACAAGAACCAAATAACTTTTTTGGGTTGGGTTTGCTTTAGTCAGAAATCGATACACGATGTGGAGATGAAGAGAATTTTTGTTCCCTCAAAGCGAGAGCCTTAACATACTGAGTGTTGATGACTACTCCATAGAACACCACCTTATATAAAATCCCACCTGCAGATATCAAGTTGTGACAATAGGTGAAAAATTTAGATTAGACAAAAAACGAATCACCATATTTTTGATGTTTGAAAAAAAAAAAAAAAAAGTAAAAACCCTCAAACATAAATCTGTAATAGAAACAGCAATGTTTGTAACTATGGAAACACTTGTGACCTGGGTCCCTGACAAAGGAATAAAGTGAAACCCAGGTCTGATCTAGACTTTGGGCTGAGTGTGTGAAGACAACCATGCAGTAAGGGACAGACTTAAATGTGGTGCAGTAAATGCGAACAGTATGAGCTGTTGGCCTTAAAACAAAAGCGATGCCATCATCTTGCTGAAGCAAAGATGTCCGTCTTTTGTTACATGGCATACAGAGAACATTTAGTAATAGCTGGCCAGAGCAGAAAGGGTGTGGTGGAGGGTGTGGCAGAAGGGGGGGAGTAGGGGACAGGACGGGTGTCTCCTTGCCTAAAACACTGTCCTGCATCTCGGGGGGCTGCCTGGAAGCCTGCCAGAGAGCTAAAAGACTTGAGCTCAGGGGGCGTCTGACCGCTGCGCAGCGCACACTGCGCCACCTCACAATAGGCACTGGAATACAAACCACACATAAAAAACACACATGCAGACATGCACACTGATTAAGGATCACACGTACACACCTCACACTCTCCTGTGTCTGCTAATGATTAAAGTACAAACTTCTACAAATCATTTCCTCTCAAAAATCATTTCCTGGATAGTAAAAACGTATTCAGACTTTAGAGACGTCAACAGTGTTTTTACCAAGACAAAACAAAGGTTGATGTTAATGAAAGTTTCATTTACATGTTCTCTGGAAGACATTAAGAGTGGTGAGCTCAAGTTTGTAGAAATACATTGCTTTGGAAAACTATTTATACCCCTTGAACTGTTTGATATTTTGTAACATTATTGCCAGAAACTGCATTTTATTTGGATTTTATGTGATTTTATGACAGGGTCATGGAAAATTGCCAAGTGAAAGGAAATGTTTTCTTACCAATAGAAAGGGAAAAACTGTGGGTTTAATATTTAATAGAATTTTTTTTTTCCTGCAATTAGAACTGCCGATGCAGAGACTGATTTTTTTGCAAACCAACAAAAATATAAAATAGATATATTTGTGAAAATCAACTTTTGCCACAGAATAAGATTTAAACGTTGACTTGCATATGGTCTAATCCCGCTCTGGGAGCATGTCGAGTGGTGGTGTCTTGATAGAAGATGAACATCTGCACCAAGCTCGAGTGTTTTTCAGCCTCCAACAGGTTTTCAGAAACTCTGAGCAGGTACTCAGCCACAGCTAAAGAAAAGGATTCCCACATAAAGATGCTGCTGCCACAGTGAGTCACTGTGGGGACGCAGTTTTCAGTGCGATCATTCATTTTCTTCCACATGTAAGTTTTCATGTAAGCCAGAAAGTCAGATTTCCAGATGAGTTGAGAGAAACTTCAAACAGGCCATCTACGGCTCCTCCAATGATCATCGTCTTCTTGTTCAATACAGCCCAGTTTTCTGGAAAACATTTCTATTTGTCCTGTCTCTATAGAATTATTCGGGATTGGTTGAGTGCTTCTCTCATTAATGCCATTTGTTCGTTAATGTTCTCCAATACATTTCTGAAACCTTCACAGAACATCTGGATTTAGAATGAGATGAGCAACACAGGTGTTTAATTTACTATTATTTACTACTTAGATGGTTTCTTCAAGCAATTCAAGTTCAAGGGGTATGGAATATGTTTTCTGCACGCTGCAATCAATTGTGTTTTTCTTATCTACAGTGCAGAGCAAGCTAAGACACTGAAACACAGTCATCATGTCGAGGCTGAAGAGCAGCATATAGCGTTGACTAAGTGGGATGCGTCAGTGGTACGTGTGCATGACAGCTTAAAATAAGTATGGTGAGAGGAATATTAATCTTAATCGATATGCACCCTGGGAGCTAGGCGAGCTCATGTTTCACTTCCTCTGGCTGGATGCATCTGGCCCTCCTCCTAATGAGCTCAGTCTGTGTGTGTATGCGTGTGTGTGCGTGTGTGTTGGAACTGCAGCCATTTTTTTTTCCACATTGAGGAGGTTTAATACCAAAGCTCGATCTTATCAGATGAGATTAATGAAATCCCTGTCGTTTGTTCATATTTTCCAATATTTCTCTCTTGTCGATGTGTGTTCAGAGGCAAGTGCTCTGAATTTGCTCGTAAAAAAGATGTATGCATAGCTCTTGCTTCGGCTAAGAATTAGATGCAGCGTTTAAATAAACTGACTGCAGATCTGAGGAATTTGCTACCGAAGCTTTTTGCGAGCTTGTAGCCACATTCCTGAAGCTCCCAGGTCTTCCAGACAATAAATGCATCATCTAACCTCTCTGTGAGCTGTAAGAACTCTCTGAGAAGGAATGAAGGGGCGGGAGTGAGGTGGAAATATGATAACGACACACTTGAAGCCAGACGCATTAAAGTGACAACGAAAACCAAAGAGGAAAGAACAAAAAACAGAAAAAAAGAGGAAGGAAATCAAATGGCTGGGAAGCTTTTACGGCGACGTTTACACACACCTCATGTTCTCCATAGTGTCTTCTGGCATTGGGGCCACTGTCTGCACTGCTGGCAGATTCTTACTAGTTGCACCGTTAACGAACGATGACGAGGAGGAAGAGGATGAGGAGGCAGAGTCTGCGGCACCTGGGTGGTGGGTGGGCAAAGAGGTTAAGAGGAAGAGTGGTGAAAAATAAGACGACCATCCCAGATATGAAACATTTATATCACCAGTCAGAGACAAATAAATTCAATTTGGATGTTATTTTTCCAGACAAGCTGCTGCACCTCTTCTGGTAATGGTTTGTGAAAATAGCTTTGCAATCAATATAAAGAATCCAGTGCAGGGAGCAACTCCCCCCCATCCCCACCCCACCCCACCCAGCCTCTTCCATTATGGATGCATAATACAGCAGTGTATCTCTGACGGGCCGGCAGGGATGTGAATACTAATCTATTTCCCTACAATGGATCTGCTGAGTGTGATGCTGTGTCTGTTTCTACAAGGAGCAAAAAAAGTAAATAAGAGTAAAATGTGGAAGAGCGCTGGTGACAGCCTGAGGGGAGTTTGCTTATTTGCATTAAATAGCTTGTGTTTTCCGTCTCTATTCTCAAACTGTACTCATCGGGTTTCTGTGACGCTGAAACTATTTCTAAAAAGGAGTTGCTGATTCAGCGTCTTTCTATTCAGTTTTTTTTCCCCCCTCTGGCAGGCAAAGTGTGGAAGTAAAAGTACAAGGTGTTTTGAGACAACACAATCAATTCAAATCTGAGAGGCTGAGGAAAAGTCATTCAACAAAAAAATTATATATATATATATATATATATATATATATATATATATATATATATATATATATATATATAAAAAATAAGAAATCTGCATCAGGGTTAGACATGCTTCCATTAAATTCTGCCTGTCCTATAGTTATTTTCAACCTCTCTTTGTAGTCTCAGGGGCCAAGTCTGACTTTATTTTTCTAACATTTTAACATTAAAATATATGAGGAACAAATGAGGAAAGAAAGTCAGTTTTTACGATGGGGCTAATGGTGTGCAAGTGGAAACTGAAATAAATACAAAATTGTTTATACATCAAAGCACATTCTCAATCTTTATTTAATCCGATCACGTCGTTGTATTTATAGATTAAAAATAGCAGGAATTTTTAGTTATTTCATCTTGTAGATATCTGATGTTTTCCTTGTCCAACAAGCCAAAAATAGAAAAAAAATAAATTAAAGTTCTTTACTTTCACAATAAACAACGACATGTGAACTATCTTTTATGTATTTTTTTCCAGCCCCCTGGAGTCAAGCAGGTTTTTGTTGCCATGGAGCGAGTCTCCATCCACATATCCAACATTTTTTCTCTCACCTGTAGTGTTGATCATGCTCTTGGGTGTTGCTGTTGCAGCGGCAAAAATGTTGGGTGTGCTGCCAGGAGTGGCTGATCCACTGGTGGTGGGTGTGCCCACCGTGTTGACAGACAGGCTGCCGGGTGGGGGCTTTTTCACTGGAACAACAACACTCCTGTGGAAAGATGAGACTCAAACGATTAGGCAAAGTGGCACTTGAGACGTTCTTGCTGAGATTGGTTGCGAAATTGCGCCTTATAAATAAACTGAACTGATGTGAAACACTGACTCTGTAGTGCCTGCAGTGTTAAAATGAAGTGACAGGTGACTTTGGTCCTCACTGAGGTCACCATGGCATCTGATGTAGGTAGCATAGCAACCTACATCAGACCTACACAGCATATTTTATTTTGTAAAATAAACAAAGGTCTATTTTACAAATGTTTCTAAATATAAAGACTCAGAAAACTTTCCCTTTGGTTTTGTATAAAACAATTTTCTACAATAGAGATGTGAACAACATTTTCAGGTTTGGGGTGTAGGATTAAAATATTGGAAAAACACAGAATTGGTCAATTAATATACAACTAAATAAGCAAAAATATTTTAATGTTTATTAATAAATTTCTCCATTATATACTTAAAAGAAGAGAAGTTGAATCTTAATGGGTCTTCATGGTTGAATAATAAATATTTTACAAAGATTTGGGCTTGCAACTTAGACCTCAAACATAAGAAAATATAGTAAAAATATATATAGCAAACAATAATTTACAGTGTCAGGTAAAAAGATCTGTAAAAACATTGAAATAATCTAATCTTTTATAGGAGATTGTACAAAGAATTAACAGCAGAGATACCAATAATTGCAGCATTGGGGATTTTACAAAAGCAGTTATTTTAAAAAGTATTTTTTTCCCTCATATTTAATAAATGTACTCAAATAAAACAAGACTAAACACTATCATTTAGCACTAAACTAATATAGTTAAAATCATGTTCTTAGATTTTTATGTATTTATTTGAGTTACAATAAAACAAAAAAGCACTGCTAAGTAAAACTTTTTTCACATTCTAAACAAAACATCCAGATCCAGTTCTACTATTAGAACAGTGGTCTATATCAACATTGACTGTAATAATTGATCAGCTGATGGGGTGTGTCTAGCTCAATGCTAACAAGTCAATATCTTTTCTCTGCAGATCCCCTCGTGAATATGACTGACCTGTCGAAGGAGTGGAACTGCATGGGCAGCATGGGATGCGTCTTCAGAGCGGGGTCCGGGTGGTAGGGCGTCGGCCCGGACTCCTGACCCAACTCCGTACCATCAATGGGAGCCGCCACCAAGCTCTTCAGGATTTCCTGCGTTTCAGGGAAAAAAACAAATCTGGTGAATGGAGAATCATTACATTCTGGTTTAAGTGTACATGTTTCACAGAGAAAAATGAGTATACGACGTAGGAAGGTTTAAACTTTGAAAGTCCGGCTGGAGAAATTCACAGGGTCATACACAGGGTTAGAGAGTATGCCTTATTCAGACTTAGATAAATTTCAGGCAGGATTCTAAAAGATTTGGACAATATTTTTAATGCATCAATTGTAACTGCAAGCTAAAAAAAATAACTAAACCATATCTAAAAATGCCTCACAGTAAATAGATGTTCTTTTCCTGGAATGTTGTTTTTGACATGCCTTGTATTGTGGTGTTCACATATTTTAATTTAAGATTATTTTGTCCAAAATCCAATATTCTAGAAGTCCTGGTCTTTTGTCTACATTGGTACAAACTTTATTCTGACCTTCATGTATTTCTTAGAGTTCTCTAGAAAATAAAACTGATTTGTTGTGAAACATGTCCAAACCTGTCCCACAGGTTTTCGTAGGGTGCCCTGATTTTTTAAGAAGCTCACCTTAACATTGATGCCTTTGTTTGTTTGGCTGATGCTAGAGATGGACGAAGGTGGCGCTTGGCTCGAGTTCGGAATGGATCTGGGATCGTGGGGAGAATCCAGAAGGCTCTCCTGCGACCTCCGGACGTCAGACGACAGACTGCACAGCAGATCTGTCCCTCCACCTCCCCCTCCACCGTTGTCTCTGTCTCTGTCTGTCTCTCTCCCCACCAGGCCCAAGCCAAGCCCACCGAGGCCCACCTCGGAGCCGTTCAGGGACCCAGCCACGTGTCCTTCTTCTCCGATGCCGGAATCCGTGTGGGGGAGGCCTGCCAGAGGAGAGTCATCTACTGGGGTAGGGGTCTGCTTGTCGCGGTCAGAGAAGGCTGTGGATGGGTGCTCTGTTACGATGAGGAAGAAAGAAAGAACATTTTATTTTGTTTATTTAACATGCACTTATATATATGGCCAAATATAAGCATTGTTTAAATTCAGATACCAAAAGAAATCTATGGATATAGGTTTATTTCTTGTAAAGTGTTTTATTTTTGTGTCGATTTCCTCCCTTCTGTTTTATTTGAAATTTTTATCTCGCTGTTAAACTATTGTTGCTTTGCTGCAGTCTGTATTTTCTCCACTCCAGGGTAAAAATGATGAGTCACTGACAAGTTACTATATGATATAAATGGTCCTGAAGCAGAGGGAAAAGGAAAAAAAATCACCTGTACTGGTTGGGGAGTTTATTTCATGGCGGATGCTTCTCCCCGACAAGCTGGTGGACCGGCCGATCTCTCTCTGCGGTTCCAGAATATCTCGGTACTTTGACACCATGAGAACTGAGATGAAGTATACGACTGCCAGTGCCAAAAACTGAGCCTGCTTACTGTCATCCTGCAATAAAACAACACAAACATAAAAAAAACATTATATTGCAAGCACAGTGGGATATGTTTCCTTAGTGTTACAACACAAATAATTCACCAACAGGCATGCTCACCACATCTCTGAAGACTACAGCTCGAAGACGATTGATGTCCACGTCCTGAAGGAGTCTGTCTGGATCCTGCTACAAATATAAGTCATGAAATTGTTGGGTCATTGGTTGTTAGTGTGCTGGCTTTTAAGTGAGACAGGATGTGAATGTCTGTGTGTTTGGTACCTTGCTGGCAGTGGAGGCACTGTGGAGGCTGTCCTGCGACTTGCTGCTGGTTAATGAAGACTTGCAACTTCGATCCCTTTGTCTTTGTCTGCACTCCAGGCAGTTTCTGACGGCCACGCAGCACACTGAAGGGAAATGGAGGAAACAGGAATTTTCAGAATCAGTGAGGTGTTTAAGATGGAAGTCTGAGAAAGCACAAAGGAATCAGAAGCTATCTAAAGGGAAATGGTTCTCTCCATGTCCGCAAGAGAGCAAGACGTAAAGCAGATAACAGAAAGGCTGAAAGTATTTCAGGAAAGTTGCTCTATTTTTAGCTTTTGAAACCCTCTGTTTGCTATATAATGTAATGAATTTTGAAATGTTGGTAGCCGTTTAGAAATCTCAGAGTAATAGAAAGGATCTACATTCTCTAGGAAGGTGTTTCAGATGTGTTAACTGTCCTAGTATAACATGTTAACTGTCCTAGTATAACATGTTAACTGTCCTAGTATAACATGTTAACTGTCCTAGTATAACATGTTAAATGTAGTTTTAAATCTGAACTCTGTCAACTTTTGATCTAAAATATTAGCAAACCTGGTTTTACAATGACTGCTCGCGCTCATGGGATGATGTTGCCTCTAATATAAATAAGACATGATCAACACAGGGAGGTCAAGACTTTTTTGAATATTGTTCTTATGTCATAATCATATCCTTCTTGAAGAGACACTAGAATCAGTGAAAGTCAGTATTGGAAGCTTAAAGCTCCAGAAAATAACTTTTCACTTAATAAAGTCATCTTTAATGAGCCCTTTCCAGGCTCCAAAATAAGATTAAAAGCAGAAATGCACTGCTCTGAATTTTGCAACCAATTTCCAATCTCTTTTTCTTGTGTAGCTTTGACCTTGCAATGCCCATTTGCATCAATTTCTCTTTAAGAACTAAAGCATAAGTACATAACCCAACCTTTTTTCTTCCCTTCCTGCCATGAACCCTTTACTTATAGATACAAGGACGAGAGGCGACATCATGCTGTGTGTGTTACTGGAAAACAGGCCTTTACTATTTTAAAGCAAGAAATTTTTGCAGAGTTTACATTTTAACACCTTTAGCCCACCGTACATTACTGAAACATCAGCTTCTGTGGGTTTTCGCCTTAGAATATATATCCTTACGCCAACTCCAAGCTTTCAAGCAGGTTGCCAACATTTCCCCATCCAGTACGTTCAGAGGAACTTTGTTATACTCTGTTTAGCCTTCTTGTCACCTGCTCAAGTCTCACCCCATCTTGCTCTTTTCACAGTGTGAAGCCACCACAAACTTGTGTCGACACGTTTGAAATAGATCCCCATAAATCCGTGCTTCCTTTGGCTTTATTTATAAAACACCTCAATGATTCTGAAACTAGCTAAGACTTTTTCAGCAAGAAACAACTTCCACACAAAAGAGTGGGCTCACATATGGTAAGTACATAATCACAAAAAGTTGACAAAGCTGAAAATCAACAGTTTAGTCGATTTATTTTTTTCTCCTTCTCTCACAAAAATGTTTTTTTCTCTAGTTTCAAAGTTAACTTATAAAATTGGAAATATTTACAGCACTACTGATACTAAACGCGGCTAACTAAGCAAGGCAAAAAGCTGTAATGATGACGTCTACAGCCATAACCATGAGTGCAGGGGTTTTGATTCTGATCAATACTGAATATGTTAGAGCAGCACACACCGAGGCGGAGACACTGCCTCATTAGCCCTCCAGACGACATGTTCTTCTCTGCTTCGATCTCACTGAAGTTCAGCGAGCTGGCAAACACCAGAACGTCCACCATGGCCATCAGGCGAGACAGAAAAGTGACCGCCGTTTCTGAAGACATTCCCTGTGTCGCCTCTATGTTCTCCAACTCCGTCTGGATTGGGGAGAGGAAACAAAAATGAACACATTGGAGAGTCAATAATAGTGAATATCTCGGCTGTAAGCACAGTGAGAAGGAAGCTCTCTCTGCAGATAAGGAGAGACGGTGAAATCATCTTTTTTTTTCCTTTTTATAAAGAATTCGCCTTTGGGTAAGCTGGGCCTTGGATCAGCATGACTAAATCAGTCATGGCTGTTTGTAACAACAAACAGGAAGAGCAACCTTCAGGGTCATGCTGAGAAATCAAGATGATGAAATCTGGCAACATAAAGTGCTCTCCACAATACACAGGAAATGCAGCCTGATGACACACAGGTGATGGTAACAATTGCTTTGTGACAGCAGCAGTGTGGTTGTAGTCAACATTGTCACTTGAATCGACCTTGTTCTGTGACCTTTAAGCTGGTTCTGTTTTAATCCCAAAGCAGTTATACTGTGATATATGAATACCTATAACCTAATGACAGCATCACGTGTTTAAAGCAAGCGTTTGCTTTGCGTGTTTCACTGCTTCTATAAGCAGAGAGCGCAGATCTGTGGGGAGTCAACAAAGTGCACGCGTCTGGAGGCTCATCAGAGCACAGACAGTTGAGGAATAACAGAGACACAGAGTGAGGACAGAAGTGCTTTGCTTTGGTTGGTGCTCTTAGTTCTTCTGTTGATGATGAGAGTCTCAGGCTCGGTACGCACCTCTCCCCCTGCGCCTCCTCCCCCAGGAATGGGGGTCACCTCCTCTCCCTTCGACCCCCTCTGGGGTCCGGCTCCTCCTGCCTTCTTTGGTGTTGATACAAACGGGACATTCTTAGCAAAAGCAAGTCTCGAGGACGGTCTAAAACACTCTTGTTCTCTCTCTTATAGAAAAGACACTCTAGTCCGGGTCAGAAGTTTACATACACATCGTAAGCATTATGGTCAAATTAGGCTTAAACTTTTAATAACTCATTTTAACCATTCTGTCAAAATTCCAGAAAATAAAACTTTGGTTCAAAAGTGCTTTTGTTTCTAAATTTTCAAAGTAATTTATGTGTACACCTTGACAATTCCTACATTCTTCACAATAAATAGCAAGTTTATGTTGATGTGCGTTTGGGTTCATTTTCTACTTAAACACCAAGTTGTGTCTACGTTTCAACCGTCTACGTTTATTTATCTTTAAGGCAGAGGACCTGAAGGTTTTTGGAGCTTTATGTCAAATTTTGATTCTACATCGCATAGGAAAAATCCACATTGTATTCAAACTTATGCACTCAATTCACACAAAAAAAATTCTACATGCTAAAGTGTTGTATTATAATCCAACTCCAGAAGAATAGCTTTTCAAATACACAATTAAAAGTCCAAAACT